GATGCTGGAAAGAAAGAAATGTTTGCAGTAGCAGGGATAGTTTCCTCTGTGAATGAAAAACTGTCCAAGACAACTACCTTTTTAACCTAACAAACTACCATTCTATCCAGTCTGATGAGAACATATTCAGAGAACATAGGGAAATCTCCATATGATCTGAATTTGGCAAGTTGAAGACTCAGGGGGAGATATTGTAGTGATATGTCTTATTAAATACACTTGTGCGCAACGACAATAGTTATCTGGGAAAAGCTTAGGGCAACGTGTGGTATGTAAGTCTGAAAGGGTTAATACTTGACTGAGTGCAATAGGCACCGTGCACTGTGATGACATCGTGAGGACTTTTGGGAAGTGTAAAGTAGGATTTCATGTGTAATAACTCAGGAAGCCCGATTGGAAACAAATATCATTTATCACTGAAAACCAAAATAGAGCCACAATTCATGGCATACAGAGGCTAGTCCCATGCCAGGACTGACGGTTGTGCAGACCCAAACTTGTTCTGCTTTGTTTTTCTTATATCCAGAAATGTTATCACACACAGCTGGATCTTGTTTTTCAACCATTTAATCACTGTGACCTTTTTTTTGGTTTTTAACTATTAACTGCCACCAGTAAATCACCTGTATGGCCAATTGGATATTTACATGCAAAATCCATTACAGGCAATGTATACCACCAAACATGAGGGCAGGGTAGGGAGAGGGGGAAGGAGCGAAATCAGAATGGAGTTGGAAGGGGAGATAAAGCACTGTATCTCTGGCAGTCCCCACTTCTCTCTAAAAGCATTGAGAGCATTGATAGGCACCATGTGTTCCCTCTCCAAGGACACCTGGGTGCTGCGGAAGAGGAGCAGACAGTCAGCAGATATAAGCCCCTCCACAGCCTGCTGTCCTGTTATTTTCTTCACATATTTTCATCATCAACCTGTTCAGAAATGCTGTTACATACCTCTGGAGCAAATAGGACTTGAATCCAGGCCTCCTGGCTCAGAGGTAGAGACACAAGAGCCCTTTGAGTCTGCTTTGACTTTATTCATACACAGAAGAATTATCACACAGAACTCAGTGACTTTCCCACCACCAAAGTCACTGTGAGATTTTTTTTGTTTTCCTTTCTAAACACTAACCAGTACCAGTAAAACAACTGTGTAACCAATTAGATATTTATAAGCAGAGCCCAGTAAGGGCAATGCAAACAATCAAAAATGAGTTTGGGGGTTAGGGAGAATGGGAAAGGACTAAATCAAAATAGAGTTGGAGGGGAAAATAGAGCACTGTGTCCCCCATGGGTGTCTACCTCATAGGTCTGCTTTAGTTTTTGTCTTTTTTACACAACTGAGCAACTTTCCCACAACCAAAATCATCATGATTTTTTAAACTACTAAATACCACCAGTAATCACTCGTATACTCAATTAAATATTTACAAGCAAAGCCCATTGCAGGCAATACAAACCATCAAAAGAAAGGAGGGTTATGGAGAGGGGGAAGGGGCTTGGGTCTACTTTATGAAGGGCAGCTTTATTCTTATTTTACCCAGAAATCACATACAACTGAGCAGCCTTCCCACCACCAAAGTCACCAGGAGTTTTGTTTTTGCATTTTTTAAAATTATCAATCATCACAAGTAAAATCATCTGTGTAGCCAATTCAATATTTACATGCAAAGCCCATTAAGGATAATGCAAACCATCAAAAGCGAGGGGAAGATAGGAACAGGACAAAGGGTTGCTTTATTATTTTTGTGTTTGCTTTTTAACCTACCTTCTAATCAACCTGCTCTGTGATGTTATTGTACAGGGTTACTTCTGGCATAGGTAGGGCTTGAACCCAGGCCTTCCTAGCTTGAAGGTAGGGATACTACCACTGTACCACAACAGAACAACTGCTTTATCATTTTTTACTTAGCAACTTGTTTAAAGATGTCATTACACACCTCTGGAGTGGGTAGGACTTGAATCCAGGCCTCTGGGTCCACAGGCATAAACACTACCACTGTGCCTCAAGAGCTAAGGGATGCTTTTTTTTCTTGTAGAGACCATGGTAAAGGTAAAGATGTCATAGTCCTACTGGACCATAGGGCTATCTCTCAATGGAAAGAGATGACTGATGGCAGCTTAACCTGAGGGTCACTATGCCTCAGCTGGTGATGGAAATTGAACCCACATTGTTGGCATCACAAACTAGCTGTCCAGCCAACTGAGCTGAACAATCCCAAGAGCTACTTTATAATTTTTTGTTTAACTTTTATCATTTAATGTAATTTGCTAATCAACCTGTTCAGAGATGTTATTGCACACTTCTGGAGTAAGAGGTACTTGAACCTGGTCCAGTGATAGGGACACTATCATTTATAGGGTTCAAGTGATGAGTTCCAGCTGGAAAGGCCATTGCCTATCACCAATGGAACACATACTCAACAAACTCCATGAGGAGATCAATTGATTCCCAATGAACCTCCTAGGGGTCATCACATTGTGGGAGTTAGACCTAAGGCTAGGTCCTCCCAACAAACTTTGCAGTAATATAGAGCGTATTCTTACACTCTGTATATAGTTGTAACAATGTAATAAACTTCATCTTATTTAACCTATAAGACTGTTCACATTAGATATAAAGTGGCTACCTTCACACATTAGACCACGTCAGTCCTGGCAAGGTATCATAGAATCCATACAGTGTGGAAACAGGCCTTTTGGCCCAACAAGTCCACACCAACCTTTCAGAGCATCCCACTAGACCCATCCCCCTATAACCCACCTAATCTACATATCCCTGAACACTATGGGCCATTTAGTATGACTAATCCACCTAGCATGCACATCTGCGGACTGTGGGAGGAAACCCGTGCAGATATGGGGAGAACATTCAAACTCCACACAGACAGTAACCCAAGGGTGGAATTGAACCCAGGTCCCCGGCACTGTGAGGAAGCAGTGCTAACCACCGAGCCACCGTAGCATATGGATGGCAGTACTTGTTAAACCTGATTCTTATTTATTAGGACCTTTTCCATTCTTATTTATTAGGACCTTTTCCAAAATGCAAGAAATTTTTTTCAGTACAAGCATATCATTTAGGGGTGACCTAAACTGAGCATTTTTGAACAATGTTATTTTTAATGCCACTATGATACTTTAATTGATCTCAATATCTGATTCATAATGTTTGTACCTACATTTTGGTATTTTGTTCAGCAAAACTGCTAACTTTTTTTTAAGTAGCTTAACACATCATCTCCGGATGTTCTAAGAAAGAAGGTTTTGAATTAATTAGCACTATTCACAACATTAGAATTTGCCTTACAACTCACAAAATCCATTTAATATGTATTCCAAAGCACCATAGATTCTACAAAATACTTTTAATGTTGATCTAGTGCTGGCAAAAGTGTTGTTATGTAGATGGATAGGTGCAAAATCTTTATTTGTGCCAAATTTGTTTTATATTCTTTACATTTGTTCCGAGGATATGGGTGAAGTTATTGCCTGAAGTTATTGCACATCCCCCTGAGTACTGATTCTTTTAATAACTGAATAGCTTGAAAAGTACTTTCAGAGAGAATTAAAAATGAACACGTGTAGAATGGGATGACTGGTTTAGCAGGTAGACTAGCCAGGTTCCTGTTCTGGAACCCAAAAGCTTGCCTGGTATCTTAGACTGACAATCTCTGGATTACTAGCCTCATACCATAAACGACTATTGGGTTACAAATGGGATAACTGACCAGTCTACCTCAATGATGGTAGCTGTGAAAGGAATATTGTTATGCACAACTCAGGGGTATAATGGAAGTTTTCTGGGTAAGTGCAGCTCCAAAAACATTCATAGATCTCAACACCATCTGGGAAAAAACAGCCCATTTGATTGAAATCCATGCAATGCCTTAAACTTCCCTCCCTTCACCAGCAGTGCACAATGGCAGCATTGTCTTCTTCCAAGATGCGCTAGAGAAACCAGCCCAAGGGTCCTTTGACAGCACTTTCCAAACTTATAATGTCTGCCACGTAAAAAGATAAGGGAAGCAGATACCTTGGAACACTAACAGCTGCAAATTCCCATCCAAGGCACACACTGTCCTGACTTGGTATTGCCATTCATTCACTGTTGTTGTATCAAAATCCTGGAATTCCTTTCCTTTCGGCATGGAGGCTATACCAACATCACAGCGTTTCAAGAAAGCCGCTCAGGACCATGTCCTCAAGGGCATATGCAACAAATTCTAATCTTTCCACAGTCCTCAAAGCGAAAGGATGGAAATTGTACAAGGTCTCCAAATGATTTTTAATCAACCTGTTTAGGCACATTATGGTACACCTGCAGGATAGATGGGAATTGAAGTCAGACCAACAGGTCCAGAGGTAGGGACACTACCACTGCACCAGAAGAGTCCTTTAAAAAACTGCTCAATGTCAGCAGCTTGTTACCTGAGGCTAGAACCTAAATCCAGCACCTAGACCGCTCAACCAGACTACCCCAGCTCAAAAGGGCGATGCATATGCGCCTTCAACCATTAATATTGGTGGAGGTTTTATAGTTAAGAAGCCAGTTTCTGATTCACCTCCATTGGAATGATTAAGAGAACACCTGCAACAACAAAATATTTCATCAGAAAATAGGTGATTAAAATGAGTGATGGGATTCCATGATAAAAGACCATGAACCAGAACAGCCTGAAGCAAGTACAGCAGGTTTTCTTCACTCTCTGTAGCCGACTTCAACATTCATTCCATGTGCAGGGATACAAAGCCTTGAGGTATCCAAAGAATTTGGCTGCCCCTTATCCACTTATCAAGTCATGTCACTTATATCAGCAGAAGCAGATGAGAGTTTCATTAGAACCAGAATCAAATTAAAATATGCAAACTTTCACAATAAGACTAAATGTGCAGGGGAGGGGGCTATATTAGTGCAGAAGGTTACATGTTACATCAATCTTGGTGAAAAAACAATGAAAGTCATAGTGAAGAGGTAATCAGGTGATTACAAGGATACATACGTATCGGTTTCTCAGTCCTATTCATAGAGATTCATGGATTTGCAGCACAGCAATTTTCTTTAGCCATGAATACTTGGCATCATATCAGTAGGCAAAGCTGGTTAAGGTGGGAAATAGAAAATGTCACCTTAGAGGTATACTTGTGGCTCCATAACACTTCACCCACCATTTTTCCAGATTCTCCATCCCAGAGATTCCGATATGCCTTTCCTTTTCCTCTGCAGATCACGTCCCTGCATAATGGACTGTATCCGTCCCATTTCCCACATTTCTGTTCCCATCCTGCCAGAATTCTAATAATATTCCCTTTTTTTCTCCTTTGATCCCCAACAGACTTTGTGTTCAGTAGATCATCACTCACTATTTACCCCATCCCCAGCAGGAGACTTTTTTTTCTCTTTCATGTGATGTGGTCATTACTGGCAAGGCCAGATTTGTTACCCATCTCTCATTGCCCATCAACTGAATGGCTTAACAGATCATTTCAAAGGCCAATTATGAGTCAATCACATGTAGGCCAGATTGAGACAGGACTGCAGATTTCCTTCCCTAAAAGACCTTAGTGAGCAGATGGGTTTTTGGTATGAATGATAATTTCATAGTCACCATCATTGAGAACAGCTCTCAATTCCAGATATAATTAATTGAATTTAACTTGTGCAAAATTTGGGAGGCATTGGTATACTGTTATCTCTGCTCACCACAACGCTTTCCTACTTTGGCAAAACCTAGTATAGATTGGATGACTGCTTTATGGAACTCATATATTCAATCCACAAGCATCACCCAGGGCTTCCAACCACCTGCCATTTTAATTCTACACACTGCCCCCACTCTGACCTCTCTGTTTGTGCAGTGACTGTGAATAGGAGCAATGGCTTATTTTTCAATAAGGCAATTTACACTCTTCCAGACTTGAAGAAGGGTGTCAGTCTTGACTCAGTGGGCAGCATACTTACCTTTGAGTCAAAAGATTGTAGGTTCTGAACTTGACTATAAGAAGTTAAGGTCAGTCTCAAAAAAGGGTTCAGACTATTCAAAAAGAGATGAGGTGGGATGTCCTCTTTCAGCGGATGTTATATCTTTGGAATACCTATCCCAACCTCAATGATTGATTATATTCAAGACAGAAGGTGATAAATTTCTGAAAACAAATTACTTCAGTGGATAGTAGAGGAAATGGTCTAAGTATTTGAATAGCAAAGTGTTGAAAGTTTTCTACCTGAACCTATTTCCTACATTCTTCATGGAGTGCCATTTTGTTTTTTTCCTTCTTTGCTATTTTTTATTTTCCTCTTTTTTTTCCTTTCTTTGCTTTTACATACTTTTTGTCAATCTGAAATCATTATATCATGTATCATTCAGATCCTGCTTTTCATGATTCTGCCATTCACACCTCCATTAGACAAATATTCATCTCACTTCTTTCATGCCACTCTATTTGATTGTGCTTCACTAACTATTTTGACATTTAATGTTGTCACATCTTCCATCCGATCACAGACCTTGCCTTTTGTTACTTATCCAACTCTCACCTCTTTCAATTTCATAAAGCCCATTCCATTTCTACCTTTTTCCAGTTCTGATAGAAAATCATTGACTTGAAATATTGGCTCTGTTTCTCGCTCCACAGACGCTGCATGACATTGTTAAATTCTTCTTCTTAAATATAAATGCACCAATCACAAACAAGGATTAGTGAAACGATAAATGTGGATTCTTTACCTGAAGTATTTTTTATTAATTCATGTGAAGTGGGCATCACTGGCTAAGCCAGCATTTGTTATCCATCCTTAATTCCCCTGCAGAAGCTGGTGGTGAGATGTTTTCTTCAACTGCTACTGTCCTTGGGCTGTAGCTGGAGCATAGCAACTTAGGAACAGGAATAGAATATTCAGCTCAACAAGCCTGCCTTGCCATTCAATGTAATCATGGCTCATTGAACACTTCAGTGCCTTCATCCCCATTACCCTGTATGCCACTAGTATTCAGAAATCCATCAATCGCTATCTTTAACGTACCCAAAAACTGAGCTTCCACAGCCCTCTGGTGTTCACAATCCTCTGAGTAAAAATCTTTCTCCTCACCTCAAAATAAAAGGCACCACCCTTATTTTTACATTGTGCCCTTGGTTCTAGATTCCCCAACCAGGGGAAATATTTTACATGTATCTACACTGTGTATCCCTTTAAGTATTTTGTAAGTTTCAATGAGATCACCTCTCATTCTTTGAAACTCTACAGAATAAAAACACAGTTTGCCCCAATCTCTCTTCATAGGACAGTCATACCATCCCAAAAACAAGTCTGGTAAACATTTGTTGTGCTCTTCTGTGGTAAGAATATCTTCCCTGAGATAAGGAGACACAAAGTTCACACAGTAATCCAAGTGCAGTCTAACTTCCTGAACAACTGAAGCAAAGTTTCACTGTCCTTGAACTCAAATCCTCTTATGACAAAGGCTAACATTCCACTAATGTTCCTAATAATTTGGTGCACCTGCATCTTAGCCTTCAGTGACTTATGGAGAAAGACACCCAGGCCTGTTACTAGATTTACATTTTCCAAACTCTTACCATTTAAAAAGTTCATTGATCATTTGTCTCTCCCACAACAGTGGAAAGCTTCAAATTTTTTTCTGTAATATTGCATTTGCTATATTCATCCACAACACTGTTTGGGAAGGAGTTCCAAGACTGTGAACATAGCACCAATAAAGGGGCAGCAATATAGTTCCAAGTCAAGCTGGTGTGTGGCTTGGAGGGGAACTTAACGTGTATGGCGTTCCCATGTATCTGCCTCACAGATTTTATTTTATCACAACTACTTCAGACTGCTCCTCAATTCATGGTCCTTATACATCATATCCTGTCAAGATGGATATTGATTGAATGTAGTTTAAGATACACCTCCTTAAAGGCTTATGCATGTCATTTCACAACCGATACTGCCTGACCTGTTGAGTATTTCCAGAATTTTCAGTTTTGCTATCAATGTCATTTTTGAAGGATATAGTGAAAACAAAACTGTAAATGGGGGTGACATTTTGTTAGTTTATATTTGTAAAGGTTATGACTGGCAATTGAGCAAGAAAGGAAGAGAGTAGTAATGACGATAATATAGCATGAAAATGACACTAGCCCTGAGTTGATTCTTTAAGTCACCTTCATACAAAGTTTTGTCATATCCCACCACTAGTCTGAGGCAAGTAGATTTGTAAGTAGTGTGATGCTTGTAGACCTGAGTTATCCTACCAGCCCCATGGTATCTAGAGTGCTGGTTCAATCTTAATGGGAAAGGAGATATTCAATTGGCTCAGCTAATGTTAAAATTAAACAATAATAGGATGGAGACTAATCTTAGGATCAAAAACAGAGGTTGCTGGAAAAGCTCAGCAGGTCTTGCAGCATCTGTGAAGAAAAAATCAGAGTTAATGTTTCAGGTCCGGCGACTCGGTTCTAAGGAAGGGTCACCGGACCTGAAACATTAAATCTGATTTTTTCTTCACAGATGCTGCCAGACCTGCTGAGCTTTTCCAGCAACTTCTGCTTTTGCTCCTGATTTACAGCATCTGCAGTTCTTTCGGTTTTAATCTTAGGATGTTGAGGGGTGACCTCATAGAGGTTTACAAAATCGTGAGGGCCATGGATAAGGTGATCAGCAAAGGTCTTTTCCCTAGCGTGGAGGAGTTCAAAACTAGGGGGCATATTTTTAAGGTCAGAGGACAAAGATTTAAAATGGACCTAAGAAGCAACTTTTTCATACAGAGAGTGGTTCGTATGTGGAACGAACTGGCAGAGGAAGTGGTGGATGCAGGTACAGCTACAACATTTAAAAGACATTTGGAGTGATACATGAATAGGAAAGGTTTAGAGGGATATAGGCCAAATGCTGGCAAGTGAGACTAGTTTAGTTTGGGAAATATGTTCGGCATGGACGAGTTGGACAGAAGTGTCTGTTTCTATGCTGTATGACTCTATGTGGAGCTTCTCAATAACAAATATATCTCTTGGTGCAAAAAGGACAATTGGAAATTTGTATGCCCCATTTGATGTGCCACACAATTTTCTCCAAAAAAGTAATGGAAAAGAAAGGAAAATTGTGTAAGTTATAAAATAGGCTAGCAATTCCCTATTGTGACATTTTTGGCCGAGTCTGAGGTTCTTGGGACTTGAAACAGTTAGAGAAAGACCAGAATGCAAAAGTGTGCAAGCTTCAACAATGGCTCTTTTGTTCAAACTATGTTTTTTCCTGCTTCTTGATACAACTCCATTTACTGATGCTGCTCTGTACGGCAGGTTTAAGTGAACACTATATAGCATCACAAATTCAAATCAGTACTGTGTTATATCTGTTATTCATTTAGTGCGAGTAATCAAGATAAATTTCATGCTCAGTGTTTCTATAGTTTTAAAGCATTTCAATGGAAAACCTGGGTACCTTAATGGCTTGTTACAATTGTGCTACAACATATGTGAAACTGAATAGATGTAAGTGTCAGGAGCAGACCTTATAACATTGTGACAACACTGGTTACATTTCGAGAAGCATGTCCTGAGGTCATGGAAGAGGTTGTAAAAATGCAAGTCTTTCTTTTCCTTCTTGATAAATCCTGCACTTTTGCATTTCATATGGCTTTGCCTCCATTTGTAAAATTAGAGAAAGTATTTTGGTAAATGGAATTTGATTAATTTAAAAATTAGCCAGTTAAATAAAAAAAATCTCAATTTCACCGGTTCATTTTTAAATTAAGTTTTATCCATTTTCAGAATTACATTCTTTAAAGCTTGCAATTAATAAATAGCTTCTGCACATTTCTGAGTTTGCATGTTTTTAAACTACCGGTCAGTCTGATCTATACAAAGCAGCTGTCAGTAGAGCAAACACCTATTATTTAATTTTTCTTGTGAAATCTTTAACAATTTAAGTAATAACTTATTTTCCACAATTGATACATAATCATGAATAGTTTACACTTTTAAGGAGGAGCTCAGCGTTAGTGTCCATACTTCTGAGTCAGAAGTATATCATACATGCTCCAGAGGTTTCTCATAACAAGTCTGAACAGGTCAATTAAAAATTTCTACACATTGTAATG